CGGGGACCGCGCGTGGGATCGCCGAGGGGGCGTGGTGTAGGGAGAGGCGTTGAGATCACCTCCCCTGGAGATCCCAGCTTGGGGGAGGCTCTGCGTCGCGGTTCTGGGTGGCCTGGAACTCCCACAGACCCTTCAAAGGCCCTTCCCTTATGCGCACTCTCCCCGCAGGGGTAAAGCAAAAAGATGGCCAAGAACTGAGTAACGGCCTGGATGCCCAGGTAACCCCTCCCCTCTCAAAGGACTGGGTCACGGGAGGGAGAGCAAGAGGGGGCCCGACCCGTTCATGGGGACCCTCCTCTGAAACAGCAGGGACCAGGCATTGTCGTCTGCAACTCATGCCCAATCTTACTCACTTTTTCACCTCTCCATCGTTTGCGAGACCAGGGAGCCTGCAAACAGTAGGCGCTCATTATGTGCTGATTGTATTCAATGGGAGAGAGAGAGCCATGAAACTAGGCAATGAAAGGAGCCAGGATTATTGCCATGGTAGGGGAGCCCCAGAGGTCAGAGAAGGCTTCCTGGAGGAGGAGGTACCACGTCTTAAAGGATGGGGTGTAGTGAGCCCTAGGAGGGGAAGCCAGGGGTCTTGGGGTGGGGGAGGGAATGGTATGAGCAAAGACTGGAAGTGGGGAAGGGTTGTTAGTGGCAGTCCCTAAAAAGGCTGCGATGAGCAGGGGATTGGGGAGGAGAGAGAGGTGGGGAAATGGAACCCTTGTGTTGAGTGAGTGAGTGAGTGAGTGAGTGAATGAATGAATGAATGAATGGTTTTGAAGCACAGGTTCAACGCGGCTACTTTGCTTCTTGGAGAGCTTTGGTGATGGGAACGCTGTGGATTTCACCTGCCTGAAAGGCTCAGTGTAGGGCTGTAAAAGAGTATAATAAAATATGCATCATAGTCCACATTTACACATGTAAAAGTATGATAAAAATATAGCAGAGGGGCCGGGTGCAGGGGCTCATGCCTGTAATCCCAGCACTTTGGGAGGTAGAGGCAGGCAGATCACTTGACGTCAGGAGTTCGAGATTAGCCTGGCTAACATGGTGAAACCCCGTATCTGCTAAAAACACAAAAAATTAGCTGGGTGTGGTGGTGCATGCCTGCAATCACAGCTACTTGGGAGGCTGAGGCAGGAGAATCACTTGAATCCGAGAGGCGGAGGTTGCAGTGAGCCGAGATCGTGCCATTGCTCTCCAGCCTGGGCGACAAGAGCAAAAAACTCCATCTCAAAAATAAAATAATAATAACAATAACAGAGGGTAGCATTGATTGAGTACTTCCCACATGGCGAGACTCCAGGAATTGATTTATTTCATCACCACAGTGACCCAGGAGACAGGTCCTATTATTTATCATCCCCATTTCATAGACAAAGAAACTGAGGCTTAAGTCACTTGCCAGGTTCTCGAGGCAAGCAGGTGGCAGCTGAGATTTGAACCCTGGCCACCTGGAGTCAGAGCCTGAGCTCTGACATGCCTGTCAGTCAGTGGGAACCCAGGGGGCAGGGAGTGGCTTGCCCAAGTCCCCACAACTGGAAGTGATAGAGTTAGGATTCAAACCTGAATCTCAATCCAGATTCCCACCACTTATCTCTGGCACAGTGTGGCGTCAAAGGGGTGATGCATCACAACACCAACAAGCATGTAGCATTTGCAGGCAGGAAGTGAGTATGGGAGTCAGGCTGGCTTCACTCAGGCAAGTCCTCCACTAAGCCTCAGTTTCTCCAGTGCAGCAATAATGTCACAGGTGTGCCCACTTCTCAGGGCTGTTATGAGGACAACTGAGACCACACACCTGGCTCTCAGTAAGTGGGCAGTGCTCTGTGAGTTCCTGGCGAGTTAGGGGCACCCCATTTTCCTTGTAGCCAGGCCTCTACCCCAGCAAACAGATGGAAAGAGGCCTGAGCCCCATCCCCCATTTCTGCCCCTGCTATCTCCACCCAGGACCCACCAGAAGATATGAAACAGGACCGGGACATTGAGGTGAGTTGGTGGCTGTGGCTAGGGATGGGGAAGTGGGGAGGAGGACATCTGCAGGCACAGAAGCATGTCCATTAGGAAAGGAGGGGAGATATTCACTGGGGCAGGAGGAAGACCCCTCTGTAGGGAGAGAAGGGCTGATGTTTATGTTGGTACAGAAGGGGTGACCCCAGGGGGAGGGTACAGTGAGCTGAGATCGCGCCACTGCACTCCAGCCTGGCAAAAGAGCAAAACTCCATCTCAAAAAAAAATTAAAAGAAGAAGAAAAAGGGTGACCCCACCCCCGCCTCATCCCCACCTGCCCCATTCCTGCCCCATTCCACAGGCAGTGGCGACCTCCCTCCTGCCGCTGACAGAAGCCAACCTACGCATGTTTCAACGGGCCCAGGACGACCTTATCCCCGCTGTGGACCGGCAGTTCGCCTGCTCCTCCTGCGACCACGTCTGGTGGCGCCGCGTGCCCCAGCGGAAGGAGGTGATGACCCACAACTTAACCTTGACTTTGACTGTCCTGAACTCCACTCCCAACTCCCATCCTCAGTGACTGTACCTCTGACCTAATGGGCTTCAATCACTGAGAGCCCAATCTCTGACCTCCAAACTCAGAGCGCAGCCCTGATCTCTGATCCCAACCCCTGGCCCAGGACTGGACTTCTGACCTTCAACGTGAGAAGCCCAATAACCCCTTACCCCAAAGCCTGACCCCTGACCCCACAGTTGAACAGCTACTACAGAAATCAACCTTGACCAGGTGCAGTGGCTCGTGGCTGCAATCTCAGTGCTTTAGGAGGCTAAGCAGGGAGGACTGCTTGAACCCAGGAGTTGGAGACCAGCCTGGGTGATAGAGCAAGACCTTGTCTCCAAAGAAAAATTTTTTGGGCCAGGTGCCGTGGCTCACACCTGTAATCCCAGCACTTTGGGAGGCCAAGGTGGGTGGATCATGAGGTCGGGAGTTCAAGACCCGCCTGTTCAAGATGGTGAAACCCTGTCTCTACTAAAACATACAAAAAGTAACCAAGCCTGGTGGTGGGCACCTGTAATCCCAGATACTCAGAAGGCTGAGGCAGAAGAAGAGCTTAAACCTGGGAGGCGAAGGTTGCAGTGAGCCGAGATTGCACCACTACACTCCAGCCTGGGTGACAGGGCGAGAAAAGAAAAAAAAAAATTTTAAGAGATGGAGTCTCACTCTGTCACCCAGGCTGGAGTACAGCAGTGTGATCATAGCTCACTGCAGCCTCCACCTCCTGGGCTCAGGTGATCCTCCCACCTCAGCCTCCCAAGTAGCTGGGACTGCAGGCCTGCACCATCATACTTGGCTAATTTTTATATTTGTATGTGTGTGTGTGGAGATGGGGTTTTGCCATGTTGCCCAAGTGGTCTCAAACTCCTGGGCTCAAGCAGTCTACTGCCTCAGTCTCCCAAAGTGCTAAGATTACAGGCATGAGCCACTGCACCTGGCAAAAAAAATTTTTAATTAGCTGGGAGTGGTGGTGTGTGCCTGTGGTCCCAACTCCTCAGGAGGCTGAGGTGTGAGGCTTGTTTGAGCCTGGGAGGTTGAGACTGCAGTGAGCCATGATCAGAACACTGCATTCCAGCCTGGGTGACAGAGCAAGACTCTGTCTCTTAAAAAAAAAAAAGGAAAAAGAAAAAAAGAAAGAAACCAAATTTGACCTCAAAAACACGGCCCCAAATCTGGCCTCTGAACCTCCTGACCAGTAGTTTGCTTCTGTTCAATGCTTAAGTCTTGCAAAAGAGGCAGAAAGCCGAGATGTGTAGTGTTTGCCAATTTCCATGGTGTAAATATTCCCACCATGGTCAATATCAAGCTATGGATGTAAAGTCGCTGATTGAGTTGCCTTGGTCAAGCTCAGGCCAGCCGATGCAGCACAGTTACCCCTGACCCTCTAACAACCCTTGGTCCCCTCTCCACACCCCCCTCCCCACCACCACCAGGTATCCCGGTGCCGGAAATGCCGGAAGCGCTACGAGCCAGTGCCAGCCGACAAGATGTGGGGCCTGGCTGAGTTCCACTGCCCGAAGTGTCGGCACAACTTCCGGTGAGGGCGCTGACCCCCAGCTCCCCTTCAGCCCTACCCCACCCCAGCCCTGCCCCTCCCTGCCCTGGCCCCACCCTGGCCCAGCCTCGCCCTCGGACCCTCACAGCCCTGCCCGCCCCCAGGGGCTGGGCACAGATGGGGTCCCCGTCTCCCTGCTACGGGTGCGGCTTCCCCGTGTATCCAACACGGATCCTCCCCCCGCGCTGGGACCGGGACACGGATCGCCGCAGCACCCACACTCACTCCTGCTCAGCTGCTGACTGCTACAACCGTCGAGGTGAGGCTCTTCTCCCCTAACAGCCTGGGCAGTCTTCATCCCCTTCTGTCCCTTTAAGTCCCCAAATCTCCATTCAGTCCACTTCATCTCCCACGGCAGCAGCCACTGCTTCTAGGTGGCCCCCCAGTCTCCGTGCTCTTGCCCACGAGGCTCTGAGGGTCCATACCTGAGGGTCCCTATGGCCTCTGCCCCCATGGTCTCTGGGTTTGGGGCCCCTGTTTTGTCCCCTGTAGTCTCAGGTGACTCCCCATGTCCCTGGGTCTCCTGTATCTTCAACACCTCTGAATGTCTGGTCACTCTGTTCCCCGTATCTTGTGGCCTCAGCTCCTCCCTATAGCCCCGAATGGCCTCAGCCCCCTCCTCCTCAGACTCTCCCAGGACCTCAAACCCCATGCCAGCAACACCTTTCCCTCCCTAGAGCCCCACGTGCCTGGGACGTCCTGTGCTCACCCCAAGAGCCGGAAGCAGAACCACCTGCCCAAAGTGCTCCACCCCAGCAACCCTCACATCAGCAGTGGCTCCACTGTGGCCACCTGCTTGAGCCAGGGGGGCCTCCTGGAAGACCTGGACAACCTCATCCTGGAGGACCTGAAAGAGGAGGAGGAGGAGGAGGAGGAGGAGGTGGAGGAAGAGGAGGGCAGGCCCAGGGAGTGACCCCTGCCAGGTGCAGACACAAACCAGACACGGTCTGTGGCTACTTTGTGTTATTATAAGATACGAGCTCAAACCGAGATATGAATGACCTTGGGGAGCCATCTGGGGCCGAGATATTGGCAGGGGGGGATTCCTGGGTCCCATTTGCAGCACCCAGGGTCACAGATCCACGGAGGGGAAGTTCCGTGGGACCCATTGGCACTGAGCCACAAAGAAAGTGTGGCCAGGACAACTTGGGCTCCTGCTGACCAATGTCCCCTGGGGCCTAGGGGACAGAGGAACAGAGTCACAGCCTCAGGGGCCGGATGAGCATGGTGGCCTTCCTGAGAGAGTATGCCCCGCCATGAAACTCAGCCCAGTAGACACCATCCTGGTAGCGGCTTCGGTAGTGGCCACCACGGTGCCACACACCATTGAGGTTGGAGTGGGCGCAGGCATGGTACCACCAGCCTCCCCGCTGGTACAGGGCACAGTTACCTAGGGGAGAGAGAGAGAGAGTCCATGTCCCCTTATCAGAATAAAAGCCTCTATCTGCACCTCACAGTGTAAGGCTTTTGCCAGGCATCCCCTGGCCCCTCCTATTCTTATTCAATACAAGCCCTGATCTTCCATCTCCTCAGCAAAATAGGAGCCCTGGCTCCCCGATTTTCTTCAGAGTAATAGCCTTAATTCCTTCCCTATCTCCTTACCAAAGTACAAGTCACATCTTTCCCACCTTCTCTGCAAACTAGGAGTCTACTGCTTATTCCTTTATCAAATAAAAGAAAGTAATTATCTACTTCCTTTCTAGAATAAGAGTACTAGCCTTCACCCTCTGCCCTTCACCCAAACAGGAGTCTTGATTCCTTTTTTTTTTTTTTTGCCTCATCAGAGAAGGAATGTAGGCTCCCTGTCCCCTCACCAGAATAAAAGTACTGTCCCTTGTTCTCTTGACAGAATAAAAGCTTGCTTATCTTAATACTTAAAGAGGGGCGTCTTACCTATCCCATCTCCTTTTATTCCCACACCAAAACAGGAGTCCCGTCTCCCCTATCCTCCCACCAGAATAAGAGTTCTCCTTACCAGAATAGGAGTCTCGATCCCTATCCATGGTGCTGAAGGGCTTGTCGTGATGCCAAGAAAGAGAATCTCCAGCATCACCATGGTATTGGCCAAGCCGCAGGCGGTAGTGGTCACTCTCGGGTTCCAGGGAGAAGCCATCATAGTGGGCACGTGCTCTACGGCCTCCCCAGTCCTCCAGGAGCACCAGCAGCTCATGGTCTTCACGGCTGGTCAGCTGATACACAGGTTCAAGGCCCAGCCAGTATTCTCCATCTGGCTGACCAAAGCCCACCTGGAAGGGCAGGAAAGTCAGGAGGCCAGAAGAGGCTCCCTCCCCTGCCCTGCCTCTGCCCGCCTGTGCCCACCTTGTAGTGCTGCCAGGTAGTGAAGAAGTTGACCGAACCATCCTGCCTCCGCTGGATCACAGTCCAGCCTCCACCCTCCAGCTGCTGCTCACACCATACTGACACCACGTGTCGGCCCACTCGCAGTTCATACACTCCGCTCTGTTCATGCCCTGCCTCTCGGGCCTCTGCACAATCCTGCCATGGGCCTGTAGGCACAGCGATATGGGGAGGCACAGTCTGGGCTGACCAGTCCCTTCCTGGAGCAAGAGTTGAGATTCTCACAGGTCCTCTCACCAGAATAAGAGTCCTGCCTCTCCAACTTTTCTACCAAAGAGTCCTGCCTCTCCCATGTCCTCACCACAATAAGAGGCCTGCCTCTCCCATTTTCTCACCAGAATCCAAGCCTCAATAGCCATTTCCTTACCTAGGACTCTGGGTCCCTTGTCTCTAACCAGAGGAAATGGCAAGTCTGGAATTCTTAAACCCTGGTTTTTTAATGGTCTCCTCACCGGAATATAAGTCCTGAACATAGTACTCTGAACCAGCTCAAACACTTACCAAAGTAGCAGTGCTAAATCTACCATTGCCTCACTAAAATAAGAGTCCCTCTTCCTTTTCACTCCTTAGTAAGAAGTTTGGTCTTTTTAAAAATCAGAATAAGAGTATTATTTATTCCAGTCCTCTCACAATGAGAGAAATCTACCACTAAAATCCTGACTCCTCAATTTCCCTCTACCCACAGTTCCTCAGCTCTGCTGTCAACTTACCCGCAGGCTCGGTAGGGACAGCAGGGTGAACTGCAGGCATGAGAGAAGGCAGGGGCTCCTGCTGTCTCAGGATTTGGTCTCTCCGGGGCTCTGGGGCTGAGTCCAGCCTCCTGCTGTCATTGGTACTACCCACAAGACTGACTGGAACCACAGGTACCAGTGGTGGTGGGGGCAGAACCTAAGGTAACAGAGAAAGTCAGGTGTAATTGCACTAACTGTCAGGCCAGGAGGCCTGGTCTCAGGGGCAGGGATGGTGGACAAATCTCCCAGTTCCCAAATGATGTGACATCTGGCAGTGGGGTGTTCCAGTCCTAGGAATGATCCTCCCCAAAGGCTAAACAACTCGGCTTTAAAGTGCAGACAGGCCAGCCGAAGTGGCTCATACCTGTAATCCCAGCATTTTGGGAGGCTGAGGTGGGCGGATCACCTGAGGTCAGGAGTTTGAGACCAGTCTGACCAACATGGTGAAACCCTGTCTCTACAAAAAATACAAAAAAATTAGCTGGATGTGGTGGCATGCGCCTGTAATCCCAGCTACTTGGAAGGCTAAAGTAGGAGAGTTGCTTGAACCTGAGAGGTGGAGGTTGCAGTGAGCTGAGATCGTGCCACTGCACTCCAGCCTGTGAGACAGAACGAGAATCCATCTCAAAAATAAAATAAAAGAATAAAGTGCAGACAGATCTAGGCGTAAATATCCGGTGTTTGTCCTCCTGATCTGTGCCCCAGCCTCCTTCTCTGTATAGTAAGAACACATCCAACAATATCCAACTTGACTCCTCCCACCCACCCTGTAAGTCAGGGACTGTCACAGCGCAACAATCTCTTATCCCAAACCCAGACCCAGACACGTTCCAGAATTCAGAACAACACGGCTGGATTTAGATTCAGGGAGGGTTATGTATATGCATGTGTGTATGGAACATACATAACACCCCTAAAGGGGTTTTTGCTCTTTACGTGATAATATGCTTAATTATAGGATCCTATGACTATTCACATTAAGTGGATAAGTAAAGGCTATAAATAGCCACCAGTCACTTTTTGACCCAAACACGTTACGAGAGGGGGCGAGTAGGAATCCGATTTTCAGGGTTTTGCAGATTTCAGAACCGCGGATAAGAGATCGTGGGGTTGCAAAAGGCCGATTTCACAGACGATGCTGCTATCCCGGGAGGCTGCGAGGTTACCTGCTGCCGCCCGCCCACGCCCCCCGGGCACAGGCGCTCCAGGCGGGAGATGAGGTCGCTCTGCTGGGTGACGAGCTGCGCCAGCTCGCGGAACTTGACGTCCAGCTGGTGGAAGCGGGCGGCGGCGCGCTGAGCCTCGGCGGACGCGTTGAGCACGCGCTCCCCGAGCAGCGCCAGCGCCGCGGCAGGCTCCGCCCCCTGGGCCGCCCCGGGTCCCGCCTCGAGCCCCGCCTCGTGCTGCAGCTGCGCGCGCAGCTGCCCCAGGCGCGCGCTCAGGCCGCGGCTCTCCTTGCGCAGCGCGCGCACCTCGCCGGCCACTGCGCCGTCAGCCGCCGCCAGCCTTTGCAGTTCGTGCAGCAGCTCCTCGTGGCGGCCGACGCGCAAGCGCAGCGCCGCCAGCTCGCTGGCGTTGGCGGCCTCCGACGTCGCCCGCGCGGACACGGGGCCGCTCCAGCACACGGCGCCCGTGAACTTCTGCGGGGGCAGCACGAAGGTGTAGGTGCAGCGCGGGGCGCCAGCCCGCGCCCATGACGCGCCCAGCAGGAGCAGCAGCTGCAGCGCGCGCCACCAGGGCGTCCCCATGGCGGCCGACCTGCAGGCAGAAGAGGAACGCGAGGAAGACCAGGTGCTGGGGCCTGGCCAGACCCCTCCGCTTCCACGCGGGGATGCGGCCGTCTACACCCGCGGTGTCCCTGGCCCATAATTCCCGTCACCATCTCATTCCCGCAGCGGCTGAGGGCTTCAAGGTGATCCCACTCGGGCTTCAACACCGAGCTCCTGGAGCCCCGCAGGATAACGGGTCTCATGTATTCATTCATTCATTAGACGAGCGAGGCCGGGCGCGGTGGCTCACGCCTGTAATCCCAGCAGTTGGGGAGGCCGAGGCGGGCGGATCGCGAGATCGAGAGATTGAGAGCATACTGGCCAAGACGGCGAAACCCCGTCTCGACTAAAATACAAAAATTAGCTGGGCATGTTGGTGCATGCCTGTAGTCCCAGCTACTCGGGAGGCTGAGGCAGGAGAATCGCTTGAACCAGGGAGGCGGAGGTTGCAGTGAGCCAAGATCGCACCACTGCACTCCAGCCTGGGCAACAAGAGCGAAACTCCATCTAAAAAAAAAAAAAAGCAAAGGGAGCGGGGTGCAACGAGGTGAGGAGTGACCGAAACGTCTCACTGTCTTCCTATCCGTCGCATACTGGAAACCCCATCTTCCACGTCCTCATACCAAAACCCCAGCAGATCCAATCCATCAGCCAGGCCTGTCTGCTCTTCTGTTTAGACCCCGAATTCCTCCACGTCCCCACTGCTCCCCCCTCCCCCCACACCCTCCCTGAATTCCCAGCTCAAGACACCATCTGGATTTCCTGACAGCAGCTGTCTCCCTGCTCTCTGAACTTCCATCCTCAACCCCAGGTCTACTACCCACGACAGCCGCCAGAGGGCGGCGGTGAACATCCGAGTCAGTTCACATCCCTCCCTCCTTCCCTCCTCTGCCCAGAATCCTCCTTGGCTCCCACCTCCTTTAGAGAAAAAGCCCAAATCTTTCCATGGCCCATAAAAACTTGCGCTATCTGGCCTATCCCCTCCTGCCCTCACTACCTCCCACGCCCTTCCTCACACCAAGCAAGTTGCAGCCTCTGGGCCTTTGTTCCTGCTGTTTTTGCAGTCTGGAACATTTTTCTCTTTTTTTTTTTGAGACGGAGTCTCACTCTGTCGCCCAGGCTGGAGTGCAGGGGTGCGATCACGGCTCACCACAACCTCTGCCTCCCGGGTGCAAGCAATTCTCCTGCTTCAGTCTCCCAAGTAGCTGCGATTACTGGTGTGCACTACCTCGCCCGGCTAATTTTGTATTTTTAGTAGAGATGGGATTTCTCCACTGCCCTGTGATTTTTTAATCCCAGTGCTGGAATTTTTTTGAGACGGAGTCTCCCTCTGTTGCCAGGCTGGAGTGGTGTGAACTTGGCTCACTGCAACCTTCCCCTCTCGGGTTCAAACTATTCTCTTGACTCAGCCTCCCGAGTAGCTGGGATTACAGGCACGCACTGCCATGCCCAGCATCTTTTGTATTTTCAGTAGAGATGGGGTTTCACCATGTTTGCCAGGCTGGTCTCATGGTGGTTCACGCCTGTAATCCCAGCACTTTGGGAGGCCAAGGCAGGCTGATCATCTGAGGTCAGGAGATCGAGACCTGGCCAACATGATGAAACCCCATCTCTACTAAAAATACAAAAAATTAGCTGAGCGTGGTGCATGCCTGTAAGCCAGCTACTCGGGAGGCTGAGTCAGGAGAATGGCTTGAACCTGGGAGGTAGAGGTTTCAGTGAGCTGAGACTGTACCACTGCCCTCTAGCCTGGACGACCTAGACCTAGTGAGACTCCATCTCAAAAAAAAAAAAAAAGAGAGACTTGCTTGCTCTGTTGCCCAGGCTAGAGTGCAGTGGAGCAGTCATAGTTCACTGCAGCCTCCAACTCCTGTGCTCAAGTAGTCCTCCTGCCTCAGCCTCCTGTGTAGCTGGGACTACAGGTGTGTACCTCTATGCCCCGGTACTTTTTTGTAGAGATGGGGTCTCACTATGTTGCCCGGGCTGGTCTCCAACTCCTAGGCTCAAGTGATCCTCCCACCTTGGCCTCCCAAAGTGCTGAAATTACAGGTGTGAGCAGCCCCAACCAGCCCTAAACGTATACTTCCTGATGCCTGTGCGAACACGTATCCTGAGGGTCTCCATCTCATACACGCATTGCCTCACTTATTCATCCAACCATGCATGCCTTAAGTGCCTATTTTATGCCAGGTGCCGTTTTGGGCAATGAGGACACAGCCTTAACCCAAATAGATAAAATGTCTGCCCTTGTGGAGCTGAAATTCAAGGTGGGAGAACAGAAATAAGTCAAACAGCCGGTAGGTAGGTCAGAGGGTGATGGTGCTTAGGAGAAAAATGGAACAGGAAAGGAGGTGACAGTCCTTGGGTTTGGGGACATTTAATAGAGTAGTCAGGGCCAGGTGCGGTGGCTCACACCTGTAATCCCAGCACTTTGGGAGGCCGAGGCAGGAGGATCACTTGAGGTCAGGAGTTTGAGACCAGCTTGGCCAACATGGCAAAACCATGTTTCTACTGAAAATACAAAAAGCCGGGCGTGGCAGCAGGCACCTATAGTCCCAGCTACTCAGGAGGTTGAGGCACAAGAATCGCATGAACCTGGAAGGTAGCGGTTGCAGTGAGTCATGATCGCACCACTGCACTCCAGCCTGGGCAACAGAGAGAGACTCTGTCTCAAAAAAAATAAATAAATAAAAATAGAGGAGTCAGGAAAGGCCTCACAGAAGAAGAGACACTTGACCGGGCACAGTGGCTCACGCCTGTAATTCCAGCACTTTGGAAGTCCAGCCAAGGCAGGAGGATTGCTTGAGCCCAGGAGTTTGAGACCAGCCTGGCCAACATGGCGAAACCCCATCTCTACTAAAAATTAAAATTAAAATAAAGAATAAGTGACACTTTCTGAAAGACCAGAAGGAAGAGAAAGAAGAGGATGAACATTCCAGGCAGAGGGAACAGCAGGTGCAAAGGCCCTAAGGTTGGACCCAAGAAATCGCAGAAAGGGGCCAGGCATGGTGGCTCACGCCTGTAATCCCAGCACTGTGGGAGGCCAAGGCAGGAGGATCATCTGAGGTCAGGAGTTCAAGACCAGCCTGGCCAACTTGGTGAAACCCTGTCTCTACTAAAAATACAAAAATTAGCTGGGTGTGATGGCAGACGCCTATAATCCCAGATACTACTCAGGAGGCTGAGGTGGGAGAATTGCTTGAACTCAGGAGGCAGAGGTTGCAGTGAGCCGAGATCGTGCCACTGCACTCCAGCCTGGGTGACAAAGACAGACTGAAAAAAAAAAAAAAAAGAAATGACAGAAAGGTCTGTGAAGCTGGAACAGAGTGAGGAGGGAAAGCAGGAGTGGGTGAGAGGTGACAGGGCAACATGTGAAGAGTCTTGTGGGCCTAGAGGAGGACTTGGATTTTACTCTGAGTCAGGTGGGAGCAGGGTTCTGGGCTGGAGACGGCCACATTGACTTCTGGACTTGAACTCCAAGCAGGGGGGTCCTCTCTTTGTCTTCTGATCACTGACACTTCCCCCTGCCCCCAGCTGCCTTTCACACTCTGCCTGCGGTGGCGGGATGGCCTGGGGGCCCCAAGCCAAGCTGTGGTTGGGGTTTTCCGACAGTGAGAATTAACCTCCACCTACCTTCCCACCCTCTCACCTCTCACGCCCAAGACCCTAAATCCAGCGAAGCTCACAGGGCGCACAAGAAGTCCAAAGAAGAGTCGAGGGTCCAGTGGAGCCTCTCAGCTAGAGAAGGGTGTGTGCAGGGGCGGGGGATGTTGGGACAGGAGAGATGAGGCTTGGTAACCACTCCCCAACCCTCAGAGCCTGGGAGTGGAGCTGAAATGCTGGGCCCAGGAGGCCAAACTATAAATATTTAGCATTTCCCAAATGAGAAATGAGACAGAGTTGCCAGATCCCCCTGCCCAGGCAACCAGAGCCTGATAACACAGGTCAGTGTCCTGGATGTCCCTCCCCTTCCCCACCACCCTCCACTACAGAGCCCAGAGCATGGGAGGCTGCAGGCCCTGGGGCAGCCAGGCGGGATCCCAGCCCCAGACACACACACCACACATAGAATGAGGCCTGTCACTGGGGACTCACTGTGTGTAGCGTATGGCTCTAAACTCTCCACACCTTTTATGTCATTTGTATGTAGCTTCTCTGTATGTAGCCTCATTTTACAGCAGGGAAACAGGCTCAGAGAGGGTGAGTGACTTGCCTGTGGTCACACAGCCGGAAAGAGACCAGGATGAGAACCAGCCGAGGTAGCTTGACTCAGAAACTCACACATGTATACCACAGTAATCATACACATATGGGCACATAACAGAGCAGACACAAAGATACAGACACACACACGCACACGCGCGCGCACACACACACATTAACACGCACACACACACATACACACATTAACACCCAGCAAAACTCCAGGTACAGTAGCTCATTCCTGTAATCCCAGCACTTTGGGAGGCCAAGGCAGGTGGATCACTCTAGGTCAGGAGTTCAAAACCATCCTGGCCAACATGGTGAAACTCTGTCTCTACTAAAAATACAAAAATTAGCCAGGCATAGTGGCATGGGCCAGTAATCCCAGCTACTCGGAAGGCTGAGGCAGGAGAATCGCTTGAAGCCAGGAGGCAGAGGATGCAGTGAGCCGAGATCTAGCCACCACACTCCAGCCTGGGGGACAAGAGTGAAACTCCTATCTTAAAATTAATTAATTAATTAAAATAAAAAATAAGTATAAAAGATACAGTTGGACATTTTTATTTTTACTTTATTCATTTTTTGAGACAAAGTTTCACTCTTTTTGCCCAGGCTAGAGTGCAATGGGACGATCTCAGCTCACCACAACCTCCGCCTCCTGGGTTCAAGCAATTCTCTTGCTTCAGCCTCCCAAGTAGCTGGGGTTATAGGCATGCACCACCACACCCACCTATTTTGGTATTTTTAGTAGAAACAGGATTTCTCTATTTTGGTCAGGCTGGTCTTGAACTCCTGACCTCAGGTGATCCAGCCACTGGAAATTTTTAAATTGTGGTTGAAGAATTGTCTTTTTTTTTTTTTTTGAGACAGAGTCTCACTTGGTCACCAAGCGCCAGGCTGGAGTGCAGTGGTGCGATCTCAGCTCACTGCAACCTCCACCTCCCAGATTCAAGCAATTCTTCTGCCTCAGCCTCCTGAGTTGATGGGACTACAAGCACATGCCACCATGCCCAGCTAATTTTTGTATTTTTAGTAGAGATGGGATATCACCATGTTGGCCAGGATGGTCTTGATCTCTTGACCTCGTGATCCATCCGCCTTGGCCTCCCAAAGTGCTGGGATTACAGGTGTGAGCCACGGCGCCCAGCCCACAGTGTATTCTTTTTTCTTTTTCTTTTTTTTTTTGAGATAGAGTCTCACCCTGTTGCCCAGACTGGAGTGAAATGGCTGGATCTTGGCTCACTGCAACCTCCGCCTCCCAGGTTCAAGCGATTCTCCCACCTCAGCCTCCCGAGTGGCTGGGATTACAGATGCCCACCACCACACCCGGCTAATTTTTATATTTTTTTTTTTTTCAGTACAGACAGGGTTTCACTACGTTGGTCAGGCTGGTCTCGAGCTTCTGACCCTGTGATCTGCCCACCTCAGCCTCCCAAAGTGTTGGGATAACAGGTGTGAGCCACTGCCCAGCCCTTTTTTTTTTTTTTTTTTTTTTTGAGATGGAGTTTTGCTCCCTCTCCCAGGCTGGAGTCAGTGGCACGATCTTGGCTCAATGCAATCTCCACCTTCTGGGTTCAAGTGATTCTCCTGCCTCAGCCTCCAGAG